CCATGTCTTCCTGCAAAGACAGTAAACTGCTACAAGTCCAGCCACCCTGCAGAGGCAGTGGACCATCCCAGAGAACTGAAAATAAATCAACAAGTAAACAAATGCTGTGAACCCTCCTTAAAACCAAAACAAACTCCCAAACAAGATCTCACCCAAGATCCTGTGGGTATACATGCTACGGATGGAGATCAGGCTGGCAACATTAAAAAGAAGATGTATTAAAAAGAAAAAACGAACTAGAAGAAATTGCTTCCCCGTGGCAAGTCAGAACAACATAATGAAACATACAAAACATGGTCATCAGCGCTAATTAAAATGGGGTTCTCAGTAGTGGTGGCTTTGGGCCAGCCTTGCCCTTTTCACTGCAGTGTTTAAGCAGCACCATGCAAAGGCAGAGGCTGCTCGGCCTCCGACGGTGCCTGCTCTTCCCCAGCTCTAACCGCAGAGGATTCGGCCTCTGCTTCAGTTCAGTTTTCAAACAAGTTCTTCAAATTCACAATAAAACCAGACCTATTTCAGGTGGATCAGGTGCAGCGACATGAACGCTCGAGGAAGCCTCTCCCTGCATTAGGAGCAGGTTAATGCCATACTTTTTCTGTCCTTAAAGCATCGCTCTGCCCCATCGTAGACCTGCTGGGAGATAAACCCAGCGGCGGTTCGCTCTCCCCAGCACCACCGCCCCCAACACCAGCCACAGCCTTTCATGTTCTGCTGAGCAGGGGCTGAGGGATCCCCGCTGTGGTTTCCACTACATTTAACATTGCCTAATTAGTCCTATCGCTGCAATCCACGTACAGAATAAAACCAGCCCTGGTTTGCTAAGGAAAAGTTACTAGTCGCAGTCACCCAAAGGCAGTGGTTTTGGCTTCTCCCTTGAGGTTCCCCACAGTTCTTCTACCTTCAGCCTTCAAAAACATCTCTTTGGATGCACAGTGAAGTGGACTGCAGAACCAACCAGAATTAAAAATTAACCCTGCCCTGAGTCAGGTACGGGGCCCTTCAGTCCTGCATCCCGTCTCCAACAGAGGAGGTCGAGGAAGTATTTACAAACAGACCACACGGGGATGCTTCTGCCGAACACCCCTCCCCACCCCCAGAGATTTATGGCTCAGAAAAACCTCTCAGTCATAGATGGGATCTTTGTATTGAGTAGTCTTTCATGTATTTTTCTCTCACATAAATTTGTACTGTTGCTTTTCGCACCTATGTAAATACAACTTAATACAATGAGGAGTTTCACAGACCTTGCAGAGAAAACCGCATTTCCTTGTTGCTCGGAGCCTGCCATCTGCTCGCTGCACCCACTGCCTCCAAACCGCCCCCGGCTCCGTCCCCTCAGCTGCTTTCACCTAAATATACGCTCCAGTCTAAGGGATGCAGTAGCACAGGGATGGGATGAAGCAAGCACAGCCAGAACTATCCTTCTCCATTGCCACGAGCTACTTTCCAGTTCACAAAAGCAATCCCCAAACAAGAGGAATGCCAAATTATCACAGGGATAATAGGCAGTTCTGCTACACAGAGGTTATCACCTAATGAGATCAAACAGCTGAGGATCGAAAGGACTGCTGAAGGAGTTGAGATGGTTTGCAGAGGTCACGCTGGTGGGAGTTAAGGCCATGCCCCAGGTTTTGCCCACTGACCAGCACTCTCTAGGTCACACGATCATTAATTCTGGTGCGAGCAGGCAGGTTCAGAAATTCAGGACATTTACATAAGAGGGACTGAGCCACAGCCACTGACATCTGAACTGTGTTGTGTGCATGAAGCTGGATTTGCGGAAGACCTTGCTGACTCTAGACGGTGAGAGCTCCAACGGAAGCAGCGGTACCACCAGCATGGCCTGTCTGCTCTTTGCTTGTTTACCTGCACTGGTACGCTTCTGCGGAAACTTCAAGAAAGAAGGAAAAGAAAAGCTAAAGAATCAAGCCGAGCCTTTCTTTTCATTTATTCACTGGAATTTTTCAATTTTTTCCAACTGAAAAAAAATGTTCAGATTTCAGGAACTTTTAACTTAAAAAAAATTTTAAAAAATCACTTGGAAATTAACATCTAGGCTTATGGGAAATCTTACATCAAGCAGTCCAGAGGATAATAGACTTTTCTTGCATGTGGGAAACCCCAAATTAATTTTTCCATTATTACTTTGCAAAAGAGACTAGCCATCACCCTGAACACCAGGCAACTGAGTTACTCTCATGTGCTGTCTAAATCAATTCATGTTTAATTTATATTAAAAACAAAAAGTATATGAAAAGTTTCAACAGAAATCCTTAAAACCACCTTGGATTGCCTTACAGGTCAGTAGGGAAACCAACATCCCACGAGGAGGGAGACACAACTGCTGGTCTTCATTGTAAATAAGACAAAGATGGACCTGAACTCCTCTTCCCCTATATTCTCTCTAACCATGCGACAGATGGGGACTCCCGCTCTCTTTCTCTCCCACTTTACAACTTGTACTTCAGTCTCCTGATAATCTAGCTCCAGAGGAAGAAAACAAGGGGTGGGGTTAAGCCACCAAAGCACTCCACTTTAGAAATGTTCCCAGCCCCTTTTCCCCACACCTCAGTTTTATTCGGGTAAAACCTACTTTGGTGAGTTAACCCAAATTCATGCATAGTTGCTTGACCATTTCAAAATGGCTAAAATAGCAAAAAAAAAATAAAAAATAAAAATAGAGAGAGTCCATGCAAGGTTGTTATCTTAACAAACACTAAGGAATTTTTGGAATACTAAAAACCCCAACCATAAAGACATTGTCATGCTTCCCTCAAAGTTTTCATCTGGGATTTCACAACCAAGAAATAAGGGATGAGGGACATGCATTAAGCACTGATCCTCCTGTCAAAGGTTTGAAAATTATTATTCAAAGGTAACAGACATGTTGGAAAAGTTTAGCTGGCCTAGAAGGCAGCTGGACAATACTGAACTTTTATGAAAAATGAATATACTTACTGCTCTTTAAAAAGTCTTCTCTGAAACTTTATTCACATGGCTAAAATAAAATTTTTAAAACATTTGGTTTTTAAGACTGACATTCCAATCGCTATATATACCACTGGTCATGGACTCCTCAATGGGAGAGCTACAGGTGCTCAAGGTGGTCAGATGTCTTGGGTAAGCACTGTAGAATTTGAAAAGTTCTGCTAACCCAAATTTAACAGAAAGCTGGAGGAACCACAAAATACAATAGCAGGATGGGCAGAGTCATCTCTCAGGGCTCAGCTCCTGAAGGATGCATACTTGGAGAGACCGGGAGGAGAGAGGGCAGCCTTTCTGCTTATCAAGGACCTACAGACCTTAGCAAATCCTTTGTGTTTAAGAACCCATGATGCCTCTCAACCCGAGTGACTGAACAGAAACAAGCAACGACAAGCAAACGAGACAAGAAAGGAAGAAAGAGGAAGATAGCACCTCGACCTCACTTGCTAGCCATGTACTGACGCTGTGAGCTCCCCATCAAAACTACAGGTTTTTTAACACATAGAGTCATGAACAGTTGCTGGCATTCAGGGACTGGAGACATTTCAGTGCTGGTCATCAAAACCTCAAATCCCAGAACACAGGTTGGCAGGGACCTCCAGAGGTCTCTGGTCCAGCCTTCTGCTCCAAGCAGGGATAACCACAGTCAGGTCATGTTGCTCAAGGCCTTGCCCAGTGAACTTCAGAAAAATCTTCCAGGACAGATATCCCACCACCTTCCTGTGCCCTGCCCCAGACCACAAACACCCTCCTCGTGAAATATTTTCCCCACATCCAGCTGGACTTTCTCTTAGTGCAGACCGGGCCGGCTGGCTCTCACCCCTTCGCTGGGCACTCCTGATGAGAGTCCAGCTCCTCTGCCAGTCCACCATGGAGATCCCTCTTCAGCCTTCTTGTCCCCAGACTAAAAACCACTCAGTTCTGCCAGCCTCTCCTATGTCATGTGTCTTTCCAGATTTTCCTCCATTTTTCCTGCCTAAAGAGTCTGTATTTACTCCCTGCAGCACTCCAGTCATGGAAGCTATCACACTGTGTCTCCATAAACCCTACTACTTTCTTAATTGTCCCTTAATTGCTCCATAGGCTACAGGTGTCAGACCACGAGCGCTAGGCAAGCACACATTCACAGGAGGAGCCTCCCTCAGCCCCTGTCCCAGCGAGCCAGGACCCTAAAGATGCTCAGCACAGCAGCTCAGGCAAACCACAACCACAGAGAGACTAACATAGCAAAGAGACACAGAAAAGGACTACGCTAAAGAGGGATTTGAAAGGTATGCCAGCGATCAAGTAATGAGAGATTGCTTCTTCGAACAAATACAAGATCCTCAGGTGGGACTGAGTTATGACTGAAGAGATAAAAAACCCCAAAGCTTCTCTCTTCATTTCCACTCAGGACACAGTTGGGTTTTTTTTCTGTTTTTTTTTCCCCTCAAACAAAATTTCAACTCTCTACGCAGGACTCAGATTAGGCTTCAGCTCAGCAAATCTCTTGGGCAGCAAGTGAGCGTCTCCTGCTTTTAGGAGGAGCGGCAGAAAACACATGGGGAAGTGATAGTAGGAGCCATCCTCTTCCCTCAGCACAGGTTAGAAAAAAGATGACACACTAAAAAGCACAGGGCTGTTTTTCCCAGTGCACCTTCAGTGAGCATTAGCACCATTGCCTGGTCCCTTCCCTGTTTCAGCTCACACAGCCGACCAGCTCCCTGCTGTCTCAGAGCTCACAATTTACCATCAGTCCTTAATCTTCTCTTTGTACTAACACCACGCCGTAACTGCAACATCTTTTTATGCAACAATCGATACAGCAGAAAAGAACAAACACGGAAACAGTGAGCAGGACATAGCCAAAAGTAATGGTACATCCTGCAGTGCTTCCTGTCATCTAACCACTGAAACTACAAAAAAAAAAAAACCCAAACACTTCTTTTGTCTGGGTCTTCACAGCCATGTGAAAATAAACATATGGAAAAAACGAAAACGCAATTCAAAAATACAGAAAAGAATGTAAAACTTACCAGGCTCTAACTTGATTATTTTTACAGCAGCCAGTTCTCCTGTATGAAGATTTCTAGCCTGAAATAAGAGAGCGAAGACATATTTAATTACGCTGCAAAGGCATCTCACAGAGTCTTACAAACTGTGAAAAGATACGCTGTGATGTCATGTGTTACAAATATGGTACAATACAATTAGCTGAGAGCAACCTGGGTGAAGATTATCTGGTTTTGGTATTATCACAGCATCAACCTAGTTGGCGTTGTGAAGCGTTACTGGCAGTTCCTTTCGAGACTTTTATAGGCCCCAGCTATCTGCCAGCAGGCGAGTTCATGCCTCTCAAACACCGTTTTTAAGGGTTGTTGAAACTGAGAAGTTTCTGCCATCCATGCTCGCTGGGCTGGTACAAAAGCAGTGTGCTGCAACACGGACTGCCAGAGCAGGGAGCGTGCAGTGCTCAACCACGCATCTCACGGTGCTAAACCTCAGCGTGCTCCGACAGTGGAACTGATAGGTGGAGGGGCAGGGAGAAGCACAGCACAGATGAGACACAGCTCCCTGCCAACAACTTAACTTTGAAAACAAAATCCTTCCAGCAGACCCTAACAGAAGCAAGTGGTCCCCACGACCCTCGAGAAGACGACAGGGCAGGGAGCTCCAATTAAGCCTTTACAGAACCGTGCTCTCTGGCTACACTGTAAACTTCACACCGAGAATTCAGTGCTGGAGGGAAATGTGACAGGAACCTCAGATATAGAAAGTTTTAAGCGGGGATTTCATTAACACTGTTAACTCTAGTAAAATGAGCTCTAAATCACTCAGGCACCATCACCAGAGCTAAGCTGTATTATTTTTGACACACAACCCGATCTATCTAGGCACTGATCATCCGAAAGTTACAGAAGTCTAAACCCAACTGTTTCATTCTTATCCTAACAAATATACAGTCTTCTCAACATATGAAATCTGGATAAGAGGTAGATTATAGAAAATCGAGGGAAAACTGGCTTAGGTACGCAGAGTTGGGCACAGGGTAAGAATGCAAAGCATCCCTGTGGACCGAATTGAAGGAAGCTACTACAGAACAAAACACTCTTCTCCTGCACATGGACAAGATGAAGTCTCAATTTAACAGCAGGTAAAGCAAGAACTTGAAAAGACGAACCCCTCAGTTTTGTCAACACTTTGTCAAGCTTCCAAATCGGGAAAGGCTTTCCAGCCAGGGGAAAGAAAAAAACCAACCAACAATAATTGCCCTTGCAAAGTCCTGTAGTGCTCAGTCAAGAGATTGGTGTCAAAATGCATGCCGAGGACACAAATATGACTCAGACAAAGAGAACCTGAACAACTGTACAACAGAACCAAACACTTGAAGCCAACAGACCAAATCACTGAACACAGAAACAGATAGTTATCTGCTAACCACAAAGGAAACCTTTACCACTTCTTAAAGCGCCTTCCCTACCAGAGGTGTTTTTAGATCACAGGAAAATCATTGGTATCCTTCAACATCCCGAAGGAGCATGCATCCAAGCATGGACAAAGGATTAGGACCTCTCCAGTACTGTTACACCTAACAATACTGTTATGAAACACAGATGTTCCCGTAGGAGATGACGCACACACTCTATCTTGCTAAAGCCAGGGAACCTCCACTATCCACGCGTCTATCCACAAGCAGCTAAGCTGTTCCGATAAAGGTGATTGCTTGATTTCCAGAAGATCAGTTTCATTTCTGAAGTACAAAAAAGATCATATTCTTTACAGATACTACTTTTCCATATAAGCAATAACTGCCACTGCTACTGTTATGCTGAAGCCTGAAGGAATGGACGTAGTCTGCCAAAGGTCTTTGGTACGCAGACTGCTTGGCAGGGACGCGAAGGTTCGGGCCAGAGATCACTGCAATTACTGGCTCTCAGCTCTCACACACAATACGCCACAGAGCTTCACCAAATTGTGTCCTGCTGCCATCCAATACTACCATTAAGTTTTTGCCTATAATCTATAGCCAGGACATGGACTATTTTGGGTTTCAACCATCAAACTATGTCTGCTGGAATGCAAAGCTCTCCACTGGGTTGGTATTTATGAACTAAACACACCAATTTATCTGAACCACTTGCCCTAAAACCGGTTTTCTGGTCCTACAGTTTAATCTTCCAACCAAACAGTTTCTCAAGTTGATGACACCAGGCCCACACACGCTACTTAACTCCTACTGTGCCAGCACCAGAGGCAAAAATGTTGAGTATTCCCTGATCCCCAACATCCTCGTTTGGATGCTCACAGATACAGGGACTCCATTAGATCTTCAGCCTAGACAATCGTATTGCGACCATGCAGCAAATTACCCAAACCGCTTCCCAAGAGATGTCACCTGCCCACCAGTGCGAGTGATGGCTTTTGTTCCTTCATCTTGGATTGCACCAGGTTTACATGGGGACACACATCTCTCTCTGCTGTCACTCTTCTTTTTTAATCTTTTCTCTTCCACACCCCTCTGTCAGCTGAAAACTTGATCAATAATGAATTACTGTTATCTTGCACATCATTAAAAATGTAGGAACGCGAGAGCTAAAAACTGGTTCTCCGTGGTACACACCTAGATATGAAAACTGTAAAATAAGGATTCCTCAAATCATTTTGAGACATGTTAGTTAAAGAAATTCTCAACTCATTTCCTATGGCTGACTACCGTTTGCACCATTTTACTTTTTAAAAAAGGATTGTGTAGTATCAAGGAAGTCACAGATAGAAATGTACTACATCAACATTGCTGGCTTTATGAATCAAACCTGAAATTTTACTACAAATTGTATTTGACAAAAATACCAGTTCTCCATAATTTCCCTGATGTGAAGAAGCAGTTAATGATCTATCAGTTTGTCTTACTGATATACTACTTCACTGAAGGGGGGGGGGGAAATTGAAGTAAAGCTAAGAAATTATAGTTCTCCTAGTCATCTTATTTACATATTTAAAACCTAACAGCAAAATATCTTCCTCCTTCCTGTACCCTGAAATTTCCTCAGTATTTCAGGTCTTAATTCAAAATTAGCTGAAACGAACCAGAGACCAGGGGAGCTGTTCTCCCCTGCACGCCAAGTAATCCAGACCTGCCAATTAATAAGTATAGCTGCTGTTCAGCATCTCATGAGCTATTATTGACGTAGCATGTTATCATTTATGTGCATTTACCACATAAAGATGACATACATATCGTGATCTTTAATGATCTCTTCTGAATTCTAGTATTTCAGTCTAACGAAAGATAAAACCTGTTAGATCTCTTTCGTCCTTAATTCTGCTGGCCTCAATTCCTTCAGTATGCAGGGAAGTCTCCTATGAACTCATCTTGAGACTAAAGGCTAAAAGACTAAAGATCAGCGTCTTCCCAGCTCCCTCCTGCGCCAGAGCCCACATCCCCATCAACAACGTGGTCAGGTTCCCACACGACAGAAGTGGAGCCCAACTTCCCCGAAAGATCAGGGAAATTGCCCTTAAGACTTTTCCCGAGAGGAAGACAGAGCTTTTGCTATCTGTTAGTATTGATCTCAATTTTATTTAATGAGACTCAGAACTGAAAATTATGTTCCACTTTACTCAGAATGAAAATTAAAACTATAGAATTTTGGCAGAAGACTGCAAAGCTCCAATAGAAAACTTGACCTACGCAAGAATGGGACTCAAACAAGGGTACATTTGAATGAGGTGAGCCACACAGTCAAATTCATTTTGCTTAATGTCATATACAGAGTATATTTACTGAGAAAGAAGAGCTAGGTAGTAGTCTTTTGGTCATCTCTTCTTCAGCTGTCCTACAGCCTGCTATAGGATAAGTGACAGCATCCCACTGAGCACAGCTCTTGCAAGAGTATTTTAGTAGCTAAATACTAATACTACAGAACATCTCACAGCATCTGTGTTCAAAATAAAAACAACCACAAGTATTCCTCTTTTTTTGAATACCCCATTGCATAGTTGTACCAGCCTATGAGGTTACATGTCACTAGTTTAACGTGACAGAACAATAATCTTTACACTTTTTTCCCCAGCTTATGTCAACTCCAACCAACATAACTCAGATTCCCTTAAGCATACACACAGCTGTACCAGAGCAGATTAAAGGTTCCTTTAAAACCATGGTCCTGTCTCAACTAGCGGATGCTTCAGAAAGTGGTTAAGAGCTGAGCAAACAAATGGCGACGCTTTCCTGACGCACTCTCCCCGCAACCGAATCGGGGTCTGCACGGTGCCTGCTGCAACAAGGACTAGCTGCAGACAGAGCCTGCATCAGGCTGCCAGTCCAGCAGAAACACACGTTCTTCCAACCTAGGAAGAAGCAATACGCTTTCTTCCAACCTAGGTACAACATCAGTGGTGTGTTCCAACGCCACACTCAAAAACGAGAGGTGCACTATTAATAGGACTGGGGTTTTGGGGAGTTGGGAGAGTTTTGTGATATTACACACGAAAAAATCATCAGCTTTTCCCACCGTCTCGGTGGGAAACTTTCTTCTCAGAGCTGAATCAAAAAGCTGTTGTGGGACAGTGGAATCCAACGTGTCGCTCGTGGCAATCCCTGCATATGATGCTTCCCACCGCACACCCAAACAACACACATGAGAAAACACATTTTGGGTAGGACACTTTTCGTAGCTAATGACCAGAAATAACACAGAAAACTGGTTTCAGAACCAGTTGCGCACTCTGCAGTTTTGTTCTATTTATTTTTAAGAGTGCAACCAAGCAATTCCACTCCAGGGGGTCTACAGTACTAAGCTGTGCGAGATGATAAAAAATTGGAGAATCATTTCACTTGAACACCTGAATGCAAGTTTATGTGCTCAGTCTCCTTCTCCAGCCACTTTCTCCTTCAACACTGAGGAAGAGACAGGGGAGATTCAGACAGCAATATCACTCGCACAGGCTCCAAATTAGTATTTTCAGTTTCCATGGTGAAATCCCCTCCTCACCCCAACGTCGTTGCCTGATCTCCAGCCTTGGATCAACAGCCCAGTTCACCAGAAGAGCTGTTTGTCTGAACTTGTCTTCATTTAATCTAATCA